TATTCAGTTCAAATAATTTTTTGAATTTCCATCTTGATTTCATTTTTGGCCCAATACTCATTCAGGAGGTTATTTAATTTCCATGTATTTACATGGTTTTGAAGGTTCCTTTTAGAGTTGATTTCCAGTTTTATTCCACTGTGGTCTGAGAGAGTGCTTGATATAATTTCAATTTTCTTAAATTTATTAAGGCTCATTTTACAGCCTATCATATGGTCTGTCTTGGAGAAAGTTCTATGTACTATTGAATAGAATGTGTATTCTGCAGTTGTTGGATGAAATATTCTACATATATCTGTTAACTCCATTTGTTCCAGGTATAGTTTAAATCTAGTTTCTTTGTTGACTTTCTGTTTTGATGACCTGTTGAGTGCTGTCAGTGGAGTACTGAAGTCCCCCACAATTACTGTGTTGTTGTCTATCTGATTTCCTAGGTCTATTAGTAACTGTTTTACAAATTTGGGAGCTCCAGTGTTAGGTGCATATGTTTAGGATTGTGACATTTTCTTGTTGAATAAGGCCTTTTAGTATTATATAATGTCCCACTTTATCTCTTTTAACTGCTGTTGCTTTAAAGTTTGTTTTGTCTGATATAAGAATAGCCACCCCTGCTCAATTTTGGTGTCCATTTGCATGAAATGCCTTTTTCCACCCCTTTAAATTTATGTAAGTCCTTATGTGTTAGGTGAGTCTCCTGAAGGCAGCAGATAGTTGGTTGATGAGTTCTTATCCATTCTGCAGTCCTAGATCTTTCAAGTGGAGCATTTAGTCCATTTACATTCAGTGTTAGTATTGAAATGTGAGAGATAGCATTCATCATGCTCTTTGTTGCCTGTGTACTTCGTTTTTTGTTTTTGCTTTTTAACTTGTATTTTTGTTTTATAGGCCCCATGTGATTTATGCATTAAAGAGGTTCTGTTTTGATGTATTTCCAGGATTTGTTTCAAGATTTAGAGCTCCTTTAAGCAGTTCTTTAGTGGTGGCTTGGTAGTGGCAAATTCTCTCAGCATTTGTTTGTCTGACAATGACTGTATCTTTCCTTCATATATGATGCTTAGTTTCACTGTATACAAAATTCTTGGCTGAAAATTGTTTTGTTTCAGGAGGCTGAAGATAGGGCCCCAGTCCTTTTTAGTGTTTAGAGTTTCTGCTGAGAAATCTGTTGTTAATCTAATAGATTTTCCTTTATAGGTTACCTGGTACTTCTGTCTCACAGCTCTTAAGATTCTTTCCTTCATCTTAACTTTAGATAACCTGATGACAGTGTGTCTAGGTGAAGGTCTTTTTGTGATAAATTTCCCAGATGCTTCTTGTATTTGCATGCTTAGTTCTCTGGAATGCATTTCAAGCTTTTAGAATTGCCTTCTTCCTCAGGAACACCAATTATTCTCAGGTTTGATCATTTAACATAATCTCAGAGTTGTTGGAGGCTTTGTTCATATTTTCTTATTCTTTTTTCTTTGTCCTTGTTGAGTTGGGTTACTTAGAAGATCTTGTCTTCAAGCTCTGAATTTCTTTCTTCTACTCGTTCAGTTCTATTGGTGAGAATTTCCAGAGCATTTTGCATTTTTAAAAATGTGTCCAAACTTTTCGGAATATTTTTACTGTTTTTTTCTTTAAGCTATCTATTTCCTTGAATATTACCCCCTTCACTTCTTGTATCATTTTTTGGGTTTCCTTGTTTTGAGCTTTGTCTTTCTCTGGTCCCTCTCTGCTTAGCTTTATAACTAATCTCCTGGATTCTTTTTCAGGTAAATCAGGGATTTCTTCTTGGTATGGATCCATTGCCGGTGAATTAGTGTGATTTTTGGGGTTGTTGATGACCCTTGTTTTATCATATTACCAGGGTTGGTTTTCTGGTTCCTTCTCATTTGGGTAGGCTCTGTTAGAGGAAAGATCTAGTACTAAAGGCTGTTGTTCAGATTTTTTTGTCCCATGGTATGTTCCCTTGTTGTAGTACTGTTCCCCTTTTCCTGTGGATGTGGCTTCCTGTGAGCCAAACTGCAGTGATTATAATCCCTCTTTTGGGTCTAGCTGCCCAGCAAGTCTACCAGGCTCCAGGCTGGTACTGGGAGTTGTCTGCACAGAGTCCCATGATGTGAACCATCTATGGGTCTCTCAGCCATGGATACCAGCACCTATTCCAGTGGAGGTGGTGGGGGGTGCAGAGGACTTTGTGAGGGTCCCTAGCTTTGGTGGTTTATCGCTGTATTTTTGTGCTGGTTGGCCTCCTGCCAGAAGGTGGTGCTTTCCAGAAAGCATCAACTGTAGTAGTGTGGGGAGGTACCAGTGGTGGGCAGGGCCCTAGAACTCCCAAGATTATATGTTCTTTGTCTTCTCCTGTCAGGGTGGGTAGGGAAGGATTATCAGGTAGGGGCGAGGCTAGGTGTGTCTGAGCCTAGACTCTCCTTGGGCAGGTCTTGCTGAGGCTACTATGGGGGTGGGGGTGCGATTCCCGGGTCACTGGAGTTGTGTACCTAGGAGGATTACGGCTGCTTCTGCTGAGTCATGCAGGTTGTCAGGGAAGTGGGGAAAAGCTGGCAGTCACAGGCCTCACCCAGCTCCCATTCTAACTGAAGGACTGGTCTCACTCCCACCATGCCTCCTACAACAGCCCCAAGTCTGTTTCCAGGTGGAGGGTGAGGCAGGCTTGAACATTTGCCCGGGGCTTTCCACCTCCCAGCTGCAAAAGAAAAGGGCTTTAGTTCTTCCCCCACCTGTGTAGTCTGCAAGCTGGATTTACTCCCCTCCTAAATTCTGGACAGGAGGCTTCTCACCGTGCTGAAGTTGTTACAAAGTTCAGCTAGAGAATTCCTTCTGCCTGTGGAGTTTTACCCCCTGCTCCTCTGGCCACCCTCCTGATGGATCCCTGTGGTGCTAGGCAGGAATAGCCTGCTTGGGGACCCAGCAAGCTCCCAGAGCTTTTCCGCACTACCCCTGTATTTTGCTTAGCTTGGCTCTCTAACTTAACTCAGCTACAGGTAAATTCCAAAACTTCTCCTACAAACAGACCTTCAGCTTCTCTAGTGGGGGTTATGTGTTCTAGAGAGGAGGGTCTCCCTTTCCCAATTCTGCAGTTGTGGCACCGACAGTATTTGGGGTGTCTCCTGGGTCCTGCAGGAGCAGTCGGCTACCCTCAGAGGGTCTGTGGGTCCTCTCAGGATTTCTGGTTTGTTCTTGCAGTTTATCTGGAGCTAAAATTCACAATGCAAGCCTCCACATACTGCTCAGTCTGGAGCTGCAATCTAGTCCTACCTCCCATCTGCCATGATCCCTAAATCTATCCGAGGATTCTTATAACTAAATTTTTTCCTTTATTAATCTCTTCTAGTTCTGCAATTTTAAATACCATTGATACTACACCGGTAAGTCTAATTTTTATCATAAGTCCTGAATTGTTTATTCAGTTTCTCCCCTCAACTGACCCCTCATCCTGACATCTTTATTTAGATGACTAAATAGCATTTCAATATTGTGTTGATAAAAAATAGTAAGCTTTATTTCACCTTCTCTAATACCAGCTACCTCCTTCTCAAGGTAAATCTTTGAGAATCATTTTTTTATTTTTCGCTTTCTCTCTCTCTTCATTTTTAATCCATCAGCAAGTTATTAAATTTTTGCCTCCAAAATATTTGGGGACCCAGTCTACACATTGTCATGCTGCTGTTCTCATTTATTCCAAGCCACCATTTTCTCTGGATTGAACTACCACAATGATCTACTCGTTGGACTTCCTGCTTTATACCCTGGAATCAGTTATCAACCAAGATAGACATCTTTTTAAAAACTTGAAGCAGATCCTATTGCTTTTCTGCCAAATATTCCCAGTGGTTTCAGCTCATACTCAAAATTAAAATCAAAATTTGTACCCAGACATTCAAGGCTCTACATGGCCTTTTGCCCTTGGAACTTTCGCATACTCTCCCACTCACTTTCAAGGCATACCAAGCTTCCTCCTAACTGTGAACTTGCTTTCTTGTCATCTGGAATATTCTCTCCAATATTTTGTGTGACTAGCGCTGAGCTGAAATATCATCCTTTAGAGAGACCTGTCTTGGAAACCCTATTAAATATCTCCCACACACCCTTTTCAGTTGCTCTCTATCTATAACGCATTTTTTTCTTCATGGCACTCTCAGCTCTTCGAAATGGTTCTGTGCTTTATTGTCTGTCTCACCCACTAAAATATAAGATCTATAAGAGCAGCCAGTGACTGGACCCTAGGACTATAAATGGCACTCTTTGAATGGGAGAATGTGCCCCTTCTGTGTGATTCTTTTTGTGTAGATACCTGATGCTCCCTGTCTGCCAAAGGAGACTCTAACATGCTGCCTTATGTTGGTTATCTGGCCACTGTGAGTTTTCCAGAACTTGTTTTCTGGTCCCTGTGGTTCGAATAAGTTTTCTTACTGAAGGCAGGAAATGAGCAGAAGTTAAATATCTATATTTAATCTATCATCTTTATCTGGGCAAACTAAATTATTTTTACATTGATTTATTGACATACATTTAATTAGAGTGTTTTATTCATTACATTTCATACAATTATTGATGTGATTGAGCTTATCATTCACTGTCTTGGTAAGTTTTATGTATATGTATCCTCTGATCTTTGTTCCTCCTTTTACTGACTTATTTTGAAAAGAGTATTGTTTAGAATTGATTTTATTGTTCTATTTGATTTTTAGAGTCCCTTCATTACATTATTTTGTTGATAGGTTACTCTAGATATTACAATACACATGCACAACAGACTCCTATGGATTAATATTAACCTCTTAGGGGAGGTTAGTCTAATCAAGCTACTTCACCATAACTAAAACCAAGATTCTCTCCTTGCGTTAGAGTTCTCCAGAGAAACAGAACTAACAGGATATGTATAAATAAATATCATTGTATATATAATTTAAAAGATATATATAATTATATATAATTGCATACATTAATATATAATATATATTATAGATATAATTTTATATATACATAAAATTTTTTTGTAGATAATTGGCTCACATTATTTTGGAGTCTGAGCAGTTCTACGATCACATGGAAAGCTGGAGACACAGGAGAGATGATGGTATAGTTCTAATCTAAATCTGAAGGCCTAAGAAACAGGAGACCCAGTGGTGTAAGTTCTAGTCAAAAAGCCAACAAGCTCAAACCCACAAAGAGCAGATGTTTCCATTTGAGTCTAAAGGCAGGAAAAAGCCAATGTCCCAGCTCAAAGCACTCAGGTAAGAGACGTTTCCTCATGCTCAGCGTTATTGTTTGATTATGGTCTTCAGTTGATTGGATGAGGTCTCCCCACATTGAGGGGGTGGGGCAGTCTTCTTTACTCATCTATTGATTTAAATGTAATCTAATCTAAAACATCCTTACAGACACAATCAGAATAATGTTTGACTAAATGTCTGTGCACCTGTAGCCCAGTAAAGTTGACACACATCCCATACTCTTTAAATAGATTAGAATTTAAGGAAGGAAGACAATTTTCTTGAGTACTTACTTCTTGTGTTAATTTTTCTCTGGATATAAATTGTGCCACTCTTTGAAGGATGTACTTTGGAATGGGTGGATTTCAGCAATGTGGGTATACACAAGCAATAGATGATATTCTCAAAATAGGGTTATACATAGGCAAAACCTTCCAGACATTAGGCCAGTGTCTCAGTCCATTGAATGTTGCTATAAAGGACTACCCAGAGCTGGGTAATTTATAAAGTAAAGATGTATATTTAGCTCACAATTCTGTAGACTGTGCAAGAAGTGTGATGCTAGCATCTGGTTTGGGTGAGGGCTTCAGACTGCTTATACTCACAGCAGAAGGCTAAGAGGAGCTGGTGTGTGCAGAGATCACATGGCAAGGGAGAGAGGACACGAGAGAAAGAGGAAAAGAGTCGGGGAGGTGCTGGGCTCTTTTTAACAACCAGCTCCACTGGTAACTAATAGAGCCAGGACCAAGACATTCATGAGGGATTTACCCCCATAACTCAAATGATTCTAATTAGGCCCACCTCCAATATTGGGGATAAAATTCCAATATGAGATTTGGAAGGGTCAAACAAACCTAATATAGTAGTAACCAGGCAGATGCTATGCTATTTATTTACATGTTATAGTTTACTTTTCACCAAGGTGCACATTAAAGGGAAATAAGAGAATATGGTGAGCTTCATATGTCCCTTAATCAGTAAGGCACTATATCTCTGTGATTCTCTTGACTCTGCCCTTCTTGGTGTGTCAGCATTGTTCTCAGGGTAGCGGCTTAGGATGGCTAATTAAATTCCAGGCTTTATATCCAGAGAGCATTACTCTCTCCAAATTCTCTTATAAAGTATTTGTAAATGTGCTAAGTCATCCCTTAACTAATTCCTTAAATAAGATAATACATGTGATGAGCTTAGTCAATTGCTTGGTAGATTATTAACAAATGTTATAGTTGGTACCAATATTTTTTTTCCCTTCTGACTTCTTCCATATTTCAGGGCACCCATTTTACCCTGTTTTCCCAAAGCAAGGCAAATAGTGATCTTGATCTCTGTTGTCTTTTACCTAATATTTTAGTGTGATTGAATTTTACCTATTTTCTCAGCCAGAAGTAATTTGTTGGGAATGGAACCAATTGATGGCAGTGGTGATGGTGATGAAGGTGATAAACAGTCTAGTTTGTTGAGTGAATAATGGCTTACAAAGTGCTTTTATGTCTGTAATCTTCTGTAACCCCTATACCAATGATTGTAACAATGAATCTCCCTTCATGGAAGATAAGGCACTTTGGAACCTGGCTATCTATGAAACAAAGGGATTGCGTAGTACCTGATTCAAATCTTATGTAGGCAATTGCTTATTCTGCATGTTTAGGGAAGAGCATGCTTGGGACTCATATGCATATTAGAGTTTCAAAAGGTATCCCAATTGCCTGTAATTGTCTCAGAGTTAGTTCACTCTCTGAATGGATGCTCAGGGTAAATTTTGTCCAAAAACACTGTGAGCTTTGCTTCTCTTGATCTAAAATCCAACCCTGAAGTATCTTCTAGACTTAAAGTGATTCACAGTTCAACTGTTTGTTCTTAGGTAGAAACTTAGTGTGCTAATATTCTTTGATACAACAATAAAGAAAATAGCTATATTTTATCTCTTTTATATAATATTCATTCGTATATACTATCTCACTTGATCTTCACAATTCTGTCAGGCAAGAGGAGGGAGTAGAATACATATTTGTTACCTGCATAACATGTACCAGACACTAGATACTAAAATTATTGATATAAATATAAATCACTATGTAACTTTTGGATAGCCCTGATACCAAATATGTGACTTATAAATTATTGAATTAACCTTTAACGTTTCAAAATTTGGGGTTCAGAGAAGTTAAGTGACTTTCCCAGTGGCATATAGTGAGAAACAGGAGAAGCTAGAACTCTGTTTGCTTTTTCTAATTTAAAAGGACGGTGGATTTAGCATGATCACAATTGCTGCCTCTGACACTAATGATGCACATGAAAAATGAATCTCCTCAGCTTTTTCTGTTGGTTGGCACTTTAACATAGACACAGAGAGTAATGTATTGTCTTCTTTTGTGTGTGTGTGGAAGTCTTTCTTCATTTACATATGCTTCTATTTGTAGATTCATAGTCTACACAGCCATGGCTGTGAGTATTCACTGATGGGCCATTATGATGATGTTTGCTCTTTTTCACTAATATTATAATGGGTATAAGGTTTGATAGTGCTAAGTTACAAAAACATTTTTATAAGTATAGCAGACATCCATGTCTTTGTAATTAAGCTTGCTTGAAATAAGACCAAATGTATCGACCAAATGAAATAAGACCAAAAGCATATATTTATGCTTTGTTTTGTGCTGCCTCTTTTCATGTAATTTTATTAACATAAGGGGTGCCTTTAATTATGCAGAGCTACAAACTACATTATTGATATTCTGTAAACATTAACTACACCCACCTTTAATGAAGCAAAAACAAAATGCAGTCTCTTGTTTTTCAAGATTCTTAGAAAGGCAGAAAGTCTGGAATGTAAAATAAAAGGAGTTAGGGATTTTATCCTTGAGTCATTGCTATGTGTGGCCAGGGCTATGTGTACCAGGATATACATGGGATAGTTACCCCGACCCACTATTTTACTTTCTGTGGTTTCAGTTACCTGTGGTTCTGAGAGAGACCCATGCACATAAATTTAATTATAATATATTGTTAAAATTGTTCTATTTAATTATTACTGTTTTTAATCTTTTACTATGCTTAATTTATAAACTAAATTTTATGATAGGTATGTACATACAGGAAAAATATATATAGCATCTGTAGGGTTCACTGTTATATGTGGTTTCAGGCATCTACTGGGGGTCTTGGAACTTATCCCCTTCAGATCAGAGGAAGTGCTGTAGTCATTTTATTGCTGAAATTTCCCAGCTCCATACCTTCAGTTCAAATATAGTAACATATTTTATAAAATATACTGTATACTAGAGATTTGTCATCTGACTCTACTTGGCACACTTCTATTTGTTAATTATCTTATTCTAGTCCACTGGTAAACTTAGGAGAATTTTTCAAAGGGGTTGACTTCCACATGGGATTTGACTTGGACTCCGAAACATACATTCAGATTAAATTCTAAATATATTAAAAGAAAATAGTTTCCAAGATCAAGAACACTTAATGGCTTCTCACTGAGATTTGTGTTGAGTTGTATTGTTTTACCAGTTAAGTTTTGAGAGAGAGAATAGTCAGTATCAGTTACATGGCCTTTACGTGAATAGTCTACTATAGATAAATCACATAGGATTACCACAGAAAATATATTGTGAATAGCTTTGAAAAAGAGAATCATAAAAATAATGACTACTCACCTCTAAGCTTAAGAAAACTACAAGAATTGAAAAATCAACAGGTTTTATCTTGCTTAACTCTGCTCCATCTATGGCATTACCAGACAAAAAAATCCTTATGTTAAGATCAACTGTGAAAAATTAAAAAGCATTTGAGTCAAATGACTTCCATTACCATAACTTTAATAGTTAAAATTATATATGCCATTGTAACCATCTTTATATTTGAGGCTTGGTTCAAAAATTTCTTAGAAGTATCTTTATGAGGATTTATTATGGCATTGCACTTGTAAAGCTTGCAGTGCTTAGGGGTCTGATCTTTTATTTATTCCCTCACTCAACAAATACATACTAGGTATTTACTCTTGGATAAAGGGGAGTAACAGCCAGTCATGATCTCTGTGTTCCAAAGTTTTTGGTCTATTTGGATAGGAAGACATTATAGAAAAAGTCACAGAAACAATTACAGATGGTATGATTAGCAGACAATGACATTTAAATATTAAAATGTATTTAAAAAATTACGAGGAAAGATATATAAGTGAAAAGATGGAAAATTTTGTAGAGATGTAAAAACTCAAAAAGAACTAAATGAAAATTCTCGAACTGAAAAATGCAAACAATTCATTCAAGGGGGTTAAAAGCAGAATGAATATTTAAGAGAAAAGGATTAATGAACTTGAAGACACATTAAGAGATATTCAACTGAAGCACAGACAGCAGAAGTTAAAAAAAATATTGAGCCAGAATGACTTGTAAAAGCAAATCAAACCATTTTGCGTATATGCAGTTAGAGTCCTAAAAAAGAGTGAGATAATAGGTCAGAAAAATATGTCCAGAAAAACAATGGCTGAAATATTTCTAAATTTAATTAAAAATTTCAAACCAAACATAGAAGAGATCCAACATTCTTCAGGTAGGATAAACACAAACCACACCTACACACATTATAGTCAAGGTGCTGAAAACCAATATAGGCATATCTTGGAAATACTGTGAGTTTGGTTCCAGACCACCACAATAAAGCAAGTCATGTGAATTTTTTTTGTTTCTCAATACAATATGAAAGTTATGTTTACACCACCTATAGTTTACTAAGTGTGCAAACATGTTTGAAAAACTATGTGCATATTATAATTTAAAATATATTATTGTTAAAAATGCTAACAATCATCTAAGCCTTCAGCAAATTGTAATCTTTTTGCTGGTGGAGGGTCTTGCCTCAATGTCAATAGCTGCTGACTGATCAGGGTAGTGCTAGCTCAAGGTTGAGTGGCTCTACCAATTTCTGAAAATAAGGCAACAATGAAGTTCTCTGATTGACTGACTTTCACAAAAGATGTCTCTGTAACATCTGAAGCTGTGTGATTGCATTTT